CTACATATCCACTTACTTTAAAAGGATTGGTTATACTACAATGTGCTTTTTTAATGCAATAAATAAAAACATAAGTTCACTTTTAATCTTTCTTTTTGTGCCCTATGCACAGAATTATTATGGTCTTAAAGTTCAACTCCAGGCAAGCAGCTATATACACAAAACAAGTATACATATTACCTGCTGAGCATTTTTTATCTCCTTCCATCCAGTCCTACGAGTTACATAGCTCCATCATACAACTCAATCTAGTGACACTACCTATATTTATGGAATACTGTGGTGTACTGTCTTTTCCTCTAGTCTGCTGATTTGACAATCAAAGAGCAGAAGATGACTATTAAGGGCATCATTCTGCTAACTCTGCTTTTTTCTCCTATTAGCATGTTCCTCATCAACGCACTTGCATGCAGCACAACTGACCTGCTACCTGTCCAGACCCTCCTTGTCGCAGTCTGAGTGCTGCTGCATAGACAATTGCAAAAGGCTCATACAAAGTTAAGCTCAGTTACTTATCTAGCTGCATTAACAAAAATACATTTACTAAATTATTATTTAGTATCTAGCAACAATGATCTGTGTATTTCATATTTGACCCATAGTTTAGCTTTAAATTGCAATTATGTTCAAGATATTATTAACTACTTCTACTAAAAAATGTCTTGTCATGTTATACTTCTTCAGCATGAGTAACATTATATCATGCCTTTTAAAGAAAGTGACAATTTCATAAAAGTTCTTTGTATAATGGTATCTGTGTGACATGCTTTTTCCATTATCCTATAAATGTGATAGCAAAAAGTAAGCCAGTGTTTTATTAACATCAAAAAGAAGCAGCCTAATTATCATCTCATTAAATCAGCAATTCCCTATCCTCTTGTTCCCAATTTTAAGCTTATCATTGAGCAGGGATACTCTTTAAGTTAAACTATACCCTTTTTATTTTTAAATAGAATTTTCCCCATGCATCTTTAATCCATTTTAAAATGCAGTTTTGATTACGCATTACTTCACGATGAGTTGAACTATGTGCAAAGTAGCTGTACTCGCACCATCCGACTGTCATAACTATATAGTATGGGTAGGTTGCTTTTGCTAGAACAAGTGTAAATATCATGGGGCACCTTATAATGAAAATTATAGTGGGGTTAAAGGGATATGTACATGTTGAATAAGAAAAATACATTTCCTAATCAAGCCCTATTATGGTGAAGTAAACCAAGTGTTATGGAGACATTTGTTGCCCCAGGCACACCTACCCACTGTACAGACGCCACTCCTTTAATCTCATTATTATGTTTGCAAACGATAAAACATGATATTATTATATGCACTGCTATTCTTTAAATGTATAGTCCACCCAACAAGAAAAAGGGAAGGTGGGTATGCATTGCTTGAGCTAGCGAAAGCCTTGTAGTACCTCTTAATGACTATTACACCCAGGTCTTCCCGTAATACGTCTTAATAGCCATCACAGCTAATTCTTCCTGCATTTTGCTGGGTTTACTCACAAGTGTACAAAAATGGCTACGCTATGGAAATATATTATAATGTAACCACAATATGCCATTTTTTTGGGCTCTATATTAGGGTTGCTCAACCTGTGGCCTGCAGAGCTCTCTGATGTGGTTAGCGACCAGGGAAGCACAAGCCTGTGGTTGGTAACCTATTGATCATGATCTGGGCTTACCAACCTGCCATCCCAGAGAAGTGCAGTCAGCGCTTGCAGCGGAGGGAGCAGGAGCCACATAAGCTGATGCTTCCTCTGTAGTGCCGGCTTCTATGATACCAAGTGCACTTCGCCTCTAATCCATTCTAGCAGCCTGAAGAGCAATGCCAGCAACAGCTGCAAGAGGAAAAGAAGGTCAGTGTATTAAACAACGCAATGGGCATATTAGCATCTATAAAAGGGTTAACTGCTTCCACATTGATCCACAGGTGCAGCGCAGTGCACCTGTGGTTTTTCTGCGGATTAGCTGCACTGAGCCATAGACTTATTTTATAACCTGTGGGTTTTGTGTGCTTTCTGAATGTGCGCCAAAACTCCTGGACGCAGTAATTTTGGTGTGCTTCCAGAAAGCGCGCCACACTGCAAAATGTAATAGAAGTCTATGGCAAAGTGGAGCTAACCCGCACGAAAGCCATAGGTGCACTGAGCTGCACCCGCAGTGTGGGTAAACCGCAGCACATCGGTGTGAAAGTGCCTTAATGCTGCACATTAGGCAAGCATACTTAGATAATATACATATATGGGAGCTGTTTTGCGTATTAAAGTTCTTCAGACTTTAGGGGGGCCGGACTGGAAAATTTCCCGGCATCAGTGAGAATAAACAATGCCCCATCTTTGGCGCTAGAATGGGGAATTGTGCCCAATCGATGGTGTCATTTGGATAAATTGTGCCCCATCATTGGGGTCATTGGGCTCCATTCTTGGTATCATTGGAATGAACTGTGCCCCATCGTTGGCGTCATTGGTTGGAATTGTGCCTCATTGTTGGTATCACTGGGAGGAATTTGTTGGTGTCAGAGGATTAAATAGTGCCCCAAGGGCCAGATAAAAGCTAGCAAAAGGCTGGTTTGGAGACCACTGATCTAGTCTGTTCCTAAATTTTACACAACTCTGTCAGGTTCGTGACCTAAGTTTTCTTCTGAAGCGTTTATAAAAACTGCTGGGTCACCTCCCTGACTTAGCTTGCGCCTGCAGACAAAGAGCGACTAAAGACTGGCCATCTCTCTGCCTTTTCCATTCAGAATGTTCCTTGTCATTACACTGTATACTGCAACACACCTGATTGGCTATTAGTGCTGCCCCTAACTCTCCAAGTCTAAGGTTTACTGTACAGGGAATTAAAAGAGACTGATGCTACATCAAATGACACTAGCTGTATTTTAATTAGATGTAATGATTCTTTAATGAATACACACATGCATTATTTGCTCTTTTATATCTGCCTGGAGTTTTGCTTTAAGATATAGACATCAATGGAAGGTAAAAGCTTTGACATTTTAAATGTAATTGTTCTTATCTTAGTAGAGGGCACAAAAATGAGTGACATGAAGTAACCTGTGGCAACCAATAGTATACTGTAGTCAGACTGATGAGATCTGATTTTGGATTGGTTTACATTACTGCTTTCTGTAGTTAATTTAAACTGTGATGCCTGAAACATGAAGCTTTCAGTTGATGAATCAGTGACTCTGACAGATGTAAATGTTCGCTTTTTTTTATAAAAAAAAAAATTCAGAGTATGGCATGAATTATTGTTGTGTTTTGTAGCACATTAAAATTGATGCACAGAACATTAATTACTTTATATATTTACATATATTGTTAGCACTTGGGGGTTTATATGAAGTCAGCCACTACATCAACACATCCCTTTCACTGTTGAAAATCTTTCTCGGAAAGGTTGCAATAACCCTGTATAGACTTACATCAGAAGTAAGTCACCCTGTATTTAAGGACGCCTTTAAGACAGCACAGGTCCTCCATATCCTGGAATCATCCCATATCCTTCAGGCAAAAGACAAACACTTGTACATGTCATACAGAACAGTTTAGCACCAAAGGCTGCTTTTCAATTCTCAGTTATAGTTCCACAGCCTCTAAAGACATAACATTGTATCACTAACTACACAAACTAACAAATTATCTTCCTATACATTTTTTAAATAATGAACTACTTTCAATAATTAACAACTTGGGCAAAAAGGTTATCATATGCTTTCCATATGCCACTGGGTAAACGTGTTTTATTTGCCAGGAACCAAGAGAATTTTATAATTTTTTACAATCTGTAAATGTATAAAATGGTTATATTGATGGATAATAAAAAAAAAACAGAAACAATAGAAAAGCCTACTGAAAATACAATATAGGTGTATGACCGGGAAAGGGGTGGTAGTCCCCAGCTCCGTTACTTGCTTTATACCTGGTATTGTCATGGCTAGGAAAAGATTTGTGTAGACTTGGTTCATTAATATTTACATACATATGCAATGTTAATATCCGAAGGGATACCATGCTTTTTTTCTTACATTTCCCATGTTTCATAAACAGCCATGGTGGCATTTCCTTCAACATAGGCATTCTAAGGATGTTAAGTAAACATCATGTGAAAACTATGAACAATGCGGGTGAAATGGCCACTTTAAAATCTTAAGCCATGGATGATAATGATACCCCACTTATAAACAGAGACAGGTAAAAATTATGCACCATTGAAAAGAGGACAAATTCAGCTTGGTGGCTTGCTTTGTCTGAAGATTGATGGAACTTCCAGCCCTGTATGGAGAGTAACCTGCAGTTGACACAACATTGTAATAATAGGTTAACATTTACATTTGGAGACTTATAAAGCATGTTTTGTATATTATGTACAAATGTAAAAATAAATATTTACCACAGTGTACTCTTTGTTTAGATGGAGAAATGTGTAATACTGCTAATAAATAATTAATTTTGTACGGTTTCCAATGAATAGGTGGAGCTCTAGGATACTAAGTAAATCTTAACTGCTGTGCTGAAAAATCCCTGTTGACAGAGCTCATCTTCCTTCACCCTACCTCTCTTCTTACTCTTTACACCTCCATAGAGAATTTCAATAAGAATGGGATAGTTTGAAAGCAAACAGTTACTGCTTTGCTCCTTTTTTTGAAAAAACATAATGCTCTCTTATAGCAGTGTCACTGGTGCACTCTTTATTAACTATTTCTTTGTAAAAAATATTTAACTTAAATAGAAAAAAAAAAATATATAAAATTTCTGTTTTAACACTTAAAGCAAAATTCAAAACCATTATAGTTTCCCTTTACTAACTCTGAAATTAGCCATACCAATAGGTATTACAAAATAATAGCTCAGTTCTACTGATTTCATCAGGAGTCAGCAACCCTTGAGAAGTACTTTATGAATCATAGGAATTCTGCAGATAACTCTGACTAACAGTTCTTGGAGGAAAGGACTGCTGGACAGGTTGAATTTTTTTGATTGAAAATAACTAGCCTAGATTAAGTAGGGTTTTGGAACTTTTGGCGTAGAGATAGATTGTTACATGGAAGGTTTTGTCATGACTTACTTGTACATTTCGGTTGAGACTTATTGCTGGCATAAACACACCATCAATGTTCTCAAAGGCTATGGGTCCTTGTTGCTTGCCATTAATATGAAATATTAGTATGTGTTTGTTAAGATCAAGGAGTATGCCAACCGTGGTTCCCTTGCTTACACCTCCTTCTGTTCTGTAAATGGAAACATATGTTAGTAGTTTATGCACAGCCTATGCTGTATATCTACACAGAAAGAATTTAGGTAACTGGTGGAGCAGAGTGCTATTTTACTGCAAAAATTCTTAGCATTATATAAAGGCTTTTGTCAATAACTTTTGGTTCACATTCAATCTACTTTTCCCCATACAAGTTTATGGGAATGCAAAGTTTGAAACAGGGAGGGAAACTGCAGGTGAAAATACCTGTCAATGAATTTTGAATGATCTCAAAAGCATCTCAAAGTAAGCACCACTTGCCCATCAACACAAACCCATAGCCCAAGAACACACGCCCTTATATGATTTTCAAACAGAAGGTAAAAACTATATCTTTAAAATGGTATTTACAATTGTATGGCACTATATTAAAAAAGTGATTTGCACAGAGGTCTTCAATGCCAGCATAAAAAGCTCTTTTATTCAATATACAAATTAGCAGTACAAATGTAAAAGTGCCATATTGAAAAGACTCTTACTCAATTTGGAGCATTGCATGAACTGACACAGCTGAAATATAAACTTCTGAAGAAGCAATAACCAAAGAGTGTTGATCACCAAAAATGACATTGTTTTCCCATTCTGGAGATTTTTCCTTATTTCCAGTCCCAGAGATACAAATGAAAGCCAGAAGAAATCTGTGGGAAAGCCAGCCTTTGAACGATATCACTGGAATAGATGACCCGATGGGAGATTTCTCATCTAATTCTTTCCTAACTGTAAAATTTTAGACTTCTTCTCATTTCCTTTCCTGGTAACAGTGGTCACCAGGACATTCAGTAGGAATGAATCTCCCCATTGGGGACAAACAGCATAAATAATGTATATATACACAAAGAAAAATATTGATGTGCAAAGTGCATAGCTTTACTTTTGACTGCTTATTCACTGCTATACATTACTGTATTCTACATATTGTTCTTTGCCATAATACATTAGCTTGAATATATGAAAATAAAGTCTGCATTTCTACATACATCTTCTGATTTTTGAATATGTGAATTTAAGTATAGAAATGAAGACTAGGTATGTAGATCGCATAAGAACTAGTGCCCTCCCAGGTTCCACTGGCTGAGAGTACAAGTGAATGAAAAAGCTCTTATCAGTTATTATGACTTACCGATTAGTATGAGAGTTGCAGTGCATAAACCAGCTTCGATTATTATCTACATACATAGCCCAGGCCTTGTCATCTTTTCCAAGCATCATATCTTTTACCACATTAATTCTGGCAACACCAAATGCTGGATCAGGATGGTTGTCATATCTGTCAACTTGTACCTCCCAATAATGGACTCCTTTGGAAAATGCAGCTGTACCCAAAACAACCCTGTCATCATAACTGCTACAAGAGGCTGTCATGTTGTCATTGGACAGTACAATATCCCGATGTGCAGTATTCGAGTCAAATGTGAAAAATGCCACTAGAAAAAAATCAAAGTTTTCTATTAGCAAGGACAGAGTTACTTCATAAATAATTCTCATTACTTAAAGTAAACTTGTGTTCTATCCTCACTAGGCCAAATAACAGGTTTGCTTTGTAGGAGGCACCATAGGCAGCCTGTACAGTACTTCACTTCATAGTGTGTTCACTGGCCTGCTCTGATGTCAGAGCAGCTAAATATACTTGTGCTTTGACTTTATGAAAGTTAGAACCTGCTTAGGGCTTAATTGTCTGCTTCTTTTCCCATGTGACAGCATTCTGACCTAGTGATTGGCTGTTCAGGTACTCAACGCTGCATTCTGGGTGGGCAGGGGAAATGTCATACAGTATATTACCTCATTATATTTGTAAGGTTTTGGTGATAGGGGCACAAGGCGCAGACTGCCTATGTTGCCTCTTGCAAAACAATGATTATTAAAACGGTCTAGTTTTGAAAAATAACAAGTTCACTTTAAGGTGTCCATTTATCAATATAATTTTCAACAGAGTTACATCTATATATGATTGCTATGTTTAAAGGGAATTGCAAGAAAGAAAAAACTCTTTTTTTACATTTATAATTTGCAAAAACAATTGCAATACAAACATTTAGGTAACAAAGTATAGAGGGACGTTATCTCTAAGATGTCAAAAGAGGGAATCATTTATTGTAGCCAAGATAATGTCAGAGGGTAGAAATCAGCTAAAACCTATTTTTTAGGGAGGCCAACTTAAAATAATATAATTATATTACCCAATGGAATTTTATCATTGGCACAGTCACATAGATCTTCCTCCATTTAATTGATGATACTGATCCATAAAGATAGTGGTGTGGTAGTGGTTGTTAAGCGGCATAGCAATTAATTTTTTCTCTGGGAGGCTATGAGTTCCGATAAAAGGTACTTATACACTGTGTGTGTGTATATATACACAGGACATATCCATGATATGTATATACACTATACAGTATGTATATATTTTTCTTTTTTTTCCTGTCATTTAACAATTAAAAACAAGGTTTTACAGTACATATGCAAACATGGCTTATAATTGACATCTGGTTAGACACTGAGTAACAGAAGGTGGTCATGACACTCAATCCATATGGCCTATATTTTATCATATTTCTCAGGAAAGCCATGCTCTTTTATGTCGGCTTTTACACAGGGAGTGCATTAGCAATCTTTTTTTTTTTTCCCAGTACTTTTAGATGGACTACTAAATTATTTCAGATGAGGAATTTGTTTCTCTTGGCATAGTAAAACGAAGGGGCATATTTATACAGCAATGGATAAGACATGCACCAAATATTCACTGCAATTGAATCACTGTAATTTAAAACACATGCACCAGGAAAATTAATATGCAGTGAATGATTGGTGAATGTCACTTTGAGTGTTTTATAAATATGTTCCTTATAGTTTAAGAGGGTGGATGGGTCAATATTGATGTCCAACAGAATCAAAGCTCAGGGTCATAGCTAATGTGGTTAAAAAAAAACACATCTTTAATAGAATACATTCTTGGATTTACCTACCATCAGATGTCTGCAAAACTACTGTCTTACTATAAGGACCAAGCCCTGTTGAGTTAAAGGCCTTGACTCTTGCATTGTAAGTGCTGTTAAAGTGAAGGCCATCAATTGTGCACAAAGTTTCTTTTCCCACGTAAACTTCCTATTTATCAAACAAAAACATTTTTTTTTAATATTTTCACATATAAACATGATTTTACTGCATTTTCTGGACCTAACTTGTACATAGCATATAATAGTATTAGTACAATTTGCTTATGTAGTGTTTTCAACATGTATATTGTAAACCAACCAACAAGTAAGTGAATGGTGCTAACTACACTAGCATCGACTAGAACAGAATACAAAATGTTCTGAAATTCATCCAAGTTTATTGGGAACTGGAAATGAAAGGAAGGATACAAATACAGTTGTATTACCTGAAACCAAATGGAGAAATATCATCTTGAAATCCTTGAATGATTTTTCTTAATTGTTTACTTTAAAATGAACCAGGATGAAATCTCTGAATGATCTGTTTCAATAAGGCGTTACTTATTCTTCTATTTTTACATTTGTTCCACACCATAAAAGTAATATAGCATATATATCAGCATAGATTGCCCTCATCTAACTTAGTACTGTTTATTTGAACTGGTTACCTGTGGTTTACACAATGAGCTAATGGTTTATGATACCTCTTACAGTTAGGGCCATTGTTGTTCACATCTGATCTGCTTCTCTCCCTCTACTAGTCTATAGAAACTCAAACTTAGCTTGAAGCAGGTCAAATTCAGATCAAAAAAGAAGTCAACTGCAGGTTAAAAGCATTTGTCATTAACGATCTTTGAAGCGTCTCAAGATGATCTGAAAAGCAGGCTGAGTTTTCCCATTGCCACAAACTCATGGTCAATTGACACAGGCTCCTACACTCTTTGTTTTCATTGCCTGATCTAAAGGAGTTCTTTTTATACATTATGAATCTGTTACTTACATTTGTATGCATGAAAACCTTTACAAATGGTATTGCTAAATGTACATAGGTTTAAAACCTTCAATAAATGTAAAATAGCGTTTTATCATTATAAAAAATGTAAGGCCCTCTTTCCTCCCTGGTCAGCTCCTATACTTCCTAGCTAAGCCTTTCCCAATGCTCTATTATCAGCTGTTGCACCGCTCTTCCTTGTTATGATCAGCTTATGTCTGCCTTCTTTATACACCTGTGGGGTCAACAACTAGTTTCCATTCTGCCTCCTCTATTCTCCTCTTCTCTTTCAAGTTCAATCCCCACATTTGCCTCCTCTTTCTGCCCTCTTGGCCATGTATCAGCTGCTGCTCAGCCTCCTCTCCCAGTGATTTGTGATCAGCTCCTTTATTGGTCTCCAAAATACTCCAGCTTCATGTCTTTACAACCTGTCTCACCAATTAAAGTGGTTGTAAAGGTTCAAGGTTTTTTACATTCATACATTCTATGCATGAAGGTAACAAACCTTCTGTGCACAGCATACCCCCCCAGCCCCTCCTACTAATCACATACACCCCCTCTCAATCCAGAGATGTGCACTGGAGTCTCAACTATCCTGGACTTCCTCTTCTCATTGGCTGAGACAGAAGCGGGAGCCACTTAGCTCACAGCCAGTGAGCTAATGAGAAAAGAGAGGGGACGGGGCCAAGCCGTGGCTTCATGTGTGAATGGACACACAGAGCAGCGGGTGCTCCCATAGCTGCTTGCTGTGGGGGCACCCAATAGGCGGGAGGGGCCAGGAGAGTCTGCAGGGGACCTAAGAAGAGGATCTGGGCTGCTCTGTGCAAAACCACTGCACACAGAAGTTAAGTATAGACATGTTTGTTACTTTTTCTTAAAAAAAAAAAACCTTTGGAATCATTTTAATGGTTGTAGTGAAAGGGCAAATAATACATGTAACTAAAATATGTTCTGGCCAATCATTAATGCCCAATAATGTGCCACAAATCACTAAGAGACACACAGGCAAATTAAGGTTCTTCACAAGATTAGAATATTGCTTGTTTCGTCTCCAAATGTGGGGATACTTCAGCTCCTGCAACTGTATACTCTTTTAATGACCAGAGAAATCTTTACATTTCAGTTATGGGTCTCTTACATACAGTTTAGTATGGGGAAAACAAGGTTTTTATGGTACTATGGTCTTGGAAATATTATTGTATTTTAGGTGCAATCTCTAGGCAAAAAAGATATACCAAAACAAAAGAGGGGATGGCTTTCCTTTAGTCACCAGTGGGTGCCCAATCTCTGGAGGGTTTTATTCTTTTCTTTCTATTTACAAACTTGTGCATTTGCAGCTTTACTGGCCCTAAGACTCAGACTTTGGTGCTTGTGCTTAGCAGCGGCCCAATCGGAGAGCCTCCGTTGGGCTGGGGAAGTTGCTTTTTTTGCCTTTATTTTTTATATGGCCATCCTTGTGTTACACCACTATACTTTCAAATACCCTTTGCTATCTATTCTTCACCAATGGACAGGCATACACCTTAGTCACTGCATTATTATTTTCTGTGTCAGGGTACTAAGAAGAACAGTAAAAAAAAATGATGTTTTTTTAAAAAGCAAATATATCAAATCAATATAAATTCCAACATCTATAAAAAATTATCGTAAACTGTAAATGAGATGCTCCCTACCTTTCAAGAATCCAAAGAGATTCTCTGTTATTAGATTATTGTCTGCCATCTATATTTTTTCTCTTAATATATCCTGCAACAATCTAAATACGGCAGAGGTAAGGCTTACTGATCTATAGTTTCCCCTATTCCAGCCTTCTAGAGTTAACCCCAGTTGAAAGAGTCTGAGAACACTAGATACGTATAGTGGGCAATCAATAACGAACGCTAATTCCTTTAGATAGATGCTATCTGGGTCAGACGCTTTATCTAACATAATCTTGTTTGCGTGTAACTGCACCTCTTCCTGCATTAGGTAAGTAATGCTAAACAGGGAGAATTTGCTTCTTCTGCCCACAGTTTTATTTGATACTATTAATTCCTTTGTTAGGACAGATAGAAGACTTGTATCCACAAGCTTTTGTCTTTTACAGTTATGTTTCCTAATTTATATTTCAGAGGGGCTATAGTAACCAGATTTTTTTATTCAAGTTTATATACTTGCAGAATCTTTTGAGGTTCAATTTAATAGCCAATCATTAACATTTTTTTAGGTTCAGTCTTCGCTAACTTAGTTTGGTTTTGCAACTATTATTACACCCAGTTTACTTCCTTAAACCTTAATGCAGTTGTGTATTTATTTAAAAAAAAAAAAATTTTTATATACGACTAGCATATTATCATCCTGTCAGCATTTGAAATTATATCAGTGCTGCTCCCTGCATCAGTATATTATGAATGCAGGGCACTCCCTTGGGTTCCATGAAGCCCTGCACTCACAGTATCTTTTCGGTCTGATTGACTGAGGACATCCTGTGACAGAGAGTAGGTATTGTTTGGGCAGCTCTGAATTTAGGGCTCATGTACACGGGGCGTTTGGAGAAGGTGAAAAATGTTAGTTTAGCCACGTTTGCATACCGCATTTATGCACGTTTGCGTTTAGAAGTGTTTTTAAAAGATAACCTCAGGAGACCTTCCCAAATGCCCAGAATGCACTGAAAACCAGTAAAAAATTAACTATTTCAGACATTTTGAGAGAAATTGAGAGGGGCAGAAACAGACAGCAGTATATGTTGAGATTACCTGTCTTTTCTGGTTGTATTCACTATAGATCCCATCATGAGCATAGTGCAGCACGTTCTACCATTTATTCCTTTACGCGAAACCTGGAACTGACTGCAATGGTATACTAGGTCCATTTGAGTACCTGGAAAATGCTTTGCATGCATTTCTGATGGTGAAAAAGGATCTGGACATGGAACAGTTAAAAAACGTTTCTAAACGCAAATGCTTATAAACACCGTTTAACCGCATTTACAAGCGTTTGGCGTTTGAAACGCCAGTAAAATCTACTCCTGAACGCAAGTTTGGTGCGTTCAAAAACATGACTGTAAACTCAGCTGCCTGTAAATGACTATGTGTACACATAGGAAAACATTAGGGAGAGTTCAGGGGCTGCTAAAAAAAAAAATATATACACAAAAAAGCTTCTGAACGTGAGTTTATCAGCTGTAGTGTACATGAGCCCTTAAGCTGAGTACAGCATCTAGAGCTACCGTATTTGCCGGCGTATAAGACGACTGGGCGTATAAGACGACCCCCCTCTACTTTTCCTGCTAAAAATGTAGTGTTTGGGCTATACTCGCCGTATAAGACTACCCCTCTTCCAATGCACACCAGTGGGAGGAATAGTGCCCCATCATTGATGTCAGTGGGAGGAATAGTGCCCCATCATTGGTATCAGTGGGAGGAATAGTGCCCCATCATTGGTATCAGTGGGAGGAATAGTGCCCCATCATTGATGTCAGTGGGAGGAATAGTGCCCCATCATTGGTATCAGTGGGAGGAATAGTGCCCCATCATTGGTATCAGTGGGGGGAATAGGTGCCCCATCATTGGTATCAGTGGCAGGAATGGTGCCCCATCATTGGCATCAGTGGGAGGAATAGTGCCCCATCATTGGTATCAGTGGGGGAATAGGTGCCCCATCATTGGTATCAGTGGCAGGAATAGTACCCCATCATTGGTGTCAGTGGGAGGAATGGTGTCCCATCATTGGTGTCAGTGAGGGGTGGAATAGTGCCCCATCATTGGTGTCAGTGGGGGGAGGAATAGTGCCCCATCGTTGGTGTCAGTGGGGGGGGGAATAGTGCCCCATCGTTGGTGTCAGTGGGGGGGAGGAATAGTGCCCCATCGTTGGTGTCAGTGGGAGGAATAGTGCCCCATCGTTGGTATCAGTGGGAGGAATAGTGCCCCATCATTGGTATCAGTGACACCAATGATGGGGCACTATTCCTCCCACTGAGACTTGCTGACCCTGTTCTCGTATGGTGCTGCTGCAGCCAGCATATGTGGTTGCAGCAGCACCTCTACACAGAGCACTTACCTGCTGCTCCGGCACTCCAATTTTCGCGGGCGGCCGCTCGGCTCCGCCCCCTCGCCGGTGATTGGCCGCCTGTGTGCCTTTCCTGAGCTACAGTTCTGGCG